CATGAAAGTAGAAGAACTCTGGTTTCTCCAAGAAAGAGTATAATGTTTCATAGCATAGAATAATACTCACAATACTCAGTACCGCGTCTGGATTGAAAGGCCATTATTAGGCTTGTTTCACTAAAAAAGTTGCTATTAATGGTTGCTTCAATGAGTTCAATTGTGCTTGTGTGTAAGCACCGGCACCGTAAGCAAGACATCCGTGTAAGACCCTAGAAAATCTAGACAACAAATTGCCGTAACAGTTAAATGTAGCTGAAAATATTAGCAAAGGCGAAAAATTTGCGTGGAATTGGTTGATAATTGCCTTATTAGTTGCCTTTTTGATATATTTTAGTATACATTCGAAATCTATCTTGGTGCATTTCAAAGAGATTACATAAAACACATCTGGCATATGTCAAGCAAAGTATTCTTCTAGAATTTTATCAGCAATTGATTAAAAGAACAATAATAGCAAGAAAAATTGTTTTTTTCGCTGAATACGAAGCATTTGCAGTCATCAGTCAAATGACAAAAGCTTGCAGGTGTGTTAAGTTCGGTATCATAAGACCGACACAAAAAATATAATAAATGTTCTATGAATTATCAAGAATAATAATCAATATTAGCGTTAATAATATTACTTATGCAAGAGAACCGAGAGTTTAACACGAATACCTAAAACCACTGCTCATGTTTACTCTAATTCAAAACAGCGATAACTATATATACAAGGAGATGAATAGTTCTGTGTTAATTACACGAAATGTAAAAACTACTTTTTGTATTTTACGCTTATATGACATTTCTTATGACTTATTTTGACTATTTGAAAAATTAATGCTACAAACGTAAGTTAAATAGATGCATAGAACAGCCTGCAATACCGCAAACGCAAGCGCAACTGCATTAAAAGCAATAACATTAACAGCATAAACAATTTAATCGTAGGATTAGATTGAACAATGAAATGAAACAATGGGAATGAATATGTAGTAATGAAGTTGAAGAAAAAAAAAAAAATAGGCACGCCCTTTTTTAGCGTATTTACTATCTAAGGCAATTAGTTACAAATCACATACTATCGTTGTCTACAATCGACAACATAGTCACAGAGAAAAACAAACAGAAATGTTATGCGAAATATATGTGAACATGTAGCTTAGTTGTAAGGCTAAACACACACACACACTGATAAAAGTTATTTTATTTTCTTAGTTTGATCGTCTGGTTGCTCATATTTGAGAGATTGACCATTGATTTCAGACAGAATTTGGTTATTATGTAACGTTTATAATGTTTATTATTTATTTTTTGTTTCTTTGTTCCCATTAAAAACTCCGCAAGAAGTTTACATCTATTCTTTATGCCAACAATCGAAAAATGTTGTTGTTGTTGCTATTGCTGTTGCTGTTGCTGTTGTTCTTGTTACTATTGTGAAATACATTGCAACAGTAATTGTCACAAATTGAACTCATGTCCTGATTTGCAAACCAGTTGTCATGCACAATAATCAACTGACAGGTGCAGTCGATTAAAACAAAGTAAAACGATTTTATTAAATTATTGAATTATTGAATCTGCATGTATTACAATTGTGTTCAATTCTTTTTTATGATAGTACGCGAGTGAGCGTATAAAAATTTCTTAGTTTCTACTGAACCTGCCTTTTATATAGATGTAGAATATCTTAATATATTAAAAAGTCCGTAGTATTTCATGCTTTTATAATGATGACAGCTTCACAAAACGCGTTAACTAAATATTTAAAGCATTGATCAGATGTACGTCAGATAATTCTGGTATTAACGAAAATAAAAAAAAAACAATTAAGGAAATTATATTGAGCCGCTACCGAGTTTTTACGTCGATGAGCGCTTTTAAGACTGATCAATAATATGTAGACATTGTATGGTCTCCGCAACTTCTTTCTGGATGTTGCAAATATTTCGATAAAAAAATGCGAAAGTTTAATAATCGGCAAAATTGAGTGGGCGTGGTCGTGTTTTTGCACTTTTGTACAAATGCCGCAGGGTCAACCATGGAATGTATATGCTAGCTTTTATCGCATCATCTGTTGTGGCTTGTAGGTAGCGACCAAAAATTCAACATTTTTTTATTTTTCAAGACAGAGGTGGTCTTAAGTTAAGCTACATAAACGACACGATCAAATCGATTTAGAATTTGATGTTGATGAAGAGCCGACTATACCGAAACTTCCTCCTCGGTGTTACAAATCTTTTGACAAAATGAATATCCTTTCGTGATTGGTATAAAAAGTTTTATTATACAAAAATAATACCCATCACCGTTGTCCTAAAAAGAATACAAAATAGGAAAAGAACTAAATATTCATACTCTATAGCATTGGATGGGCGCGGTTCATTTCTTCTATTCTCAGAATAAAAATGAAAATTTATGTAGTGCAAATGTGGTACTCTACGGGCAAAAAAGCCAAAAACAACCTGCTGGAAAGGACTTCCAATTTTCCTGTCAAATTTGGAGTCGATAGCTTCATTTTTGCGACCAGGGGAATGTTTACAAGGGACATTACACAGACGGACAGTTGCACAAGCTTAAATCGATGCAAATTTTGATGCTGATCGAGAATATACATACATCGTGGGGCCTCTGATATTTCCTTCACAACACCCAACTGTTTTTTAGAGAAACGTAGAGAAGGCAAAAGAGACGGGGAAGGAGTTATATGATTAACTTGGTAACTGGAGTCAAAAAATCGATAAAAGTTTTGATAACGAAAAGTGTGTATTTCTGTAATGTCGCCCTGCGTCGTGAATCGAAAGCTGAGGAATAACCCAGCGCTGTGGTTTTCCTTTTGTATTTCGCTAGTAAGAGTAAGATGTGAATTGCTCGCCTTTAGCCAAAAAAAAACACAAAACCAACTATTGAGACTGACTAACGGCGTCGAAATTAACACTTTTTCTCTATTAAAAATTGTTGTAGAATGTCGTACAAGAGTAGCGTTTTCTGTGCGATTTAATTGCAAAAAGCAAAGAAAACTTCAAGACAATCACGACCAAACGGTCCTTCTTCATATTAATAATCTTGATATCTAAGTCAAGTTATAGCTCAATGATAATCTATATGATCAAAAGAAAAAAAAACAAAAAAAAAAAGAAGCAAAATAACACTTTTAGTTACTTTTTCCACTCTAACACTTAATAAATCGAGTGACAAAACTTGCATATTTTCGTTGAACTAATCAAAGCGCTACGAAGAATGAGACAATTCTATGAAGATATCTGTCTTATCATTCAATGGTAGTCAATGATAACACCTAAAAAATATCTTCTCTCTTACTGTCATTAATTTATTCCGTTCATAGCGTTTTGAAGAATGCCGTACATAACGAGAGTAAGGCAATCATTTCTGGCGAAGTTTAAATGTGACGTTGCACATTTATTATTTACACAAACGCTTAGTGCATATACACATTCGGCATATAATCATTCGGTCAATTACAAGACACTCTTACCAATATAAACATACATGTAGGCATATATACATACGTATATATAAAAGTGTTATTTTTACTGATGGCGTTGAAAAGGTAGGGAAATCCTAAAAAAAAAAAAAAAAACGCGAAAGAAATGAGAAAACAATGCCAAGAGAAAACTGTTTAACAAAATTTTTATCATTGACAATTTTATACATTTGCATAAAATTCATACATATAGACAAGATAGGTGTCAGAAAGTCCGTAGGTTTTTGTATGCAGAAGTCCAAAGAGGTAAACGTTATAGAAAAAAATAGGGGAGAGAGGTAGAGAGTTAGTTCAAGTAAAGTGAGAAAACTGAGACAATTGGCACACATATATGCTTTAATAGCAGATTGTGAGATTGCTGCAGCAGCGAGCAAGCAGTTACTTGTACATTGCAGTGTGCGTCTCTTCTCGTGTATGTCATACAAGCCAGGGCGCATTGTGTTGTTGTTGTTTGTTAAACTGAGCTGAGGCATGGCGAATTGTAAGTCCAAAGCTTTGCCCCAATGCATCACACTTACTATGCATAGTATGCACATTTTATATATACAGGTCTGTCCGTAGGCACCCAAAAACGTTAAAGGAAATACAAAATGCACATAAAATTGTATGTTGCTGCCGCCGCTGTTGCTGTTGCAATTGTTAAAAGGTATAGTAGCTATGACACATGGTATTTCAGCGAGTTTTCGCGTTTTGCCAAGTGTCAAATTGTTTTCAATACGAAAACTGTTACTCTCGTGGTGTGATGTATATCTTTGTGGAAAAGTTTTATGTGCGACCATATGCGCGTAGCGTTTGACTTGTGTTTTAAATGAGTGAATGTTGTTGGTTTTGCTGTTGTTGTTATTGTTATTGGTAATAGTTTGGTGTGCCTATTATTTTAGCAACAAGTTACTGCTATTATACTTATACATATATTTGTGTGCGTGTGCGTGTGCATGTGAAATCATATGCAACAATTTAATTGACACTTTCAATGATACCACGCATCGGTATTAAACAAAAACGTACACGTGAATGCAATGAACATAGAATTCTAAGAGTTTTCTTCTATGACGAGTAAATGCATTTATTTTTATATTTAGGCAACGACATGTGAGTGTTGATCCTGTGAATCGAATTTACATTAAAACTTAGCTAGCGACTAGTAATCCTTTTGATTGTTCCTTTCCATGACAGTAAGAGTTGGGGTTTGTTTTTGAAATCTATTGATTCGAATGCAAAATTTCGCTCACACTTAAGAGAAGCATAAAATGCTCTTTACTAGTTCGCGCTTTGCTTGCCTGCTCCTATTCATGTAAGGATAAGTTGTTCAGCCAAGTATGTATATGAGTTGTAAATTTATTTGGAAGAAATATTTTTTTGAAAACCTCATACTAGGCTTTGGCAAAACTTTCAAAAGCAAATTATTCAGAAAGAAAAAACAGAAACAACACAGTTTTACGGGAAGGTCGTTTTTATTTTTTTCCGAGGAATTCTAAACGTTTTGCACTATATCGCGTAACATTCATACGCCATGCTTTATCTTGTACAACGCGGTAAAGTACGTTCTCAGGTTATAAATGTACCTGAAGGTTTACCCGAAGTTCTATCCGATATCGCGCGCGAGGTGCTCCGCTGTCAACCGACTACGGAGTGTTTGTGTCAATTTATTATCGACTACATGCATTCAGTAATTATGGCTCGTGAGAAAGCCCTTGTAGCTAAAAGCATTATTGATCGCGCTTTAACTGCGGTGGATGAAGTCATTGCGGATATGTGTATATGCGATATTTCCAAAGAGAAGTCGGAAGTAATGTGCGCAGCACTTGAAGAGTGCTTCCAACGTTTCTTGGCTAAACGTCGCTGTGAACAGGGCAGACGGGAATCAATTTTGAAATTTAATGAAATTGATTTACTGGATGAATTAATAATGAAATGTGGATTTTCAGAGAGCGAATTAAAGGTGTCGCGACCCATTATTGAAGCTGCCTATGAGAAGTTTGTAGGCATATATATGACAGCGCAGCAGAATGCTGAAAGTACTGATGCTTTGTATCAATATTTCCGAGAACGTGAACGAAAACGTGCCGATGAACGTAGACGTCAAATAGCAGCCGTAAAAATACAAGCATGGTACCGCGGCTCTCATCTTAGGAAATCGTTGTATAACAATGGTCTTCTAGTAATAGAAGAGCCGCATGAAGAAAGTTCAGAGAGCGATGAAATGATATTAGTAAAAGAGATGGCAGCTCGCAAAATTCAACAATTCTTTCGCAATCGTCTTAGTAGTATGCGCCGTAAGGATTCTTCTCTGAAAAACCTTGAAGAACTTTGCGAATTTAAATCAAAAGATTCTATGTCTATTCATCCATCCCGTTACGATTTTCAAATTGGAGAGGAGGACGAAGATCAAATCGTTGATAAAACTGTTCCTGAAAAAGATCTACCGACGGAAAATACACCAGAAAGGGCTGAAGTTCCCAAATTAATGGATTCAAGTAGAGAAACTGTTACTGAAGATGCGGAAAATGCCTAACTTTGGAATTCTTTAGCGCGATTTTTATTTTATTTGCTATTGCACGAGGACGGATTTGATTGTTTTGTTAAACCCACCACTGGGAATGTAATTTTTTGATTTTGCGCGTAGTGTACGAAAGCACGCATCGGTTTTTTCTTCCCGTTTCAAGTATGTAGAGATACGAATTCGTGATCACTCAGGGCCATTTCTGCGTTCAAACAAGGGAAAGGGGTATTGAAATATTCAATTTCCGCAGTGTTATGTTAAAAATTATAAAATGCCCGCCGTTGAATTATGCATGAGACCGACTCCTTGCTATCTTCGAAGGGTTAAGCATACTGCGCGTTGTGATATATCGGTCAGATGAAATCGAGTCCCGATCGGACCTTGTTATGCTATTAATGATTTTCTTTTTTGATACTAAAAATTCTGTCTTTCCAGTCAAATTCCATGTTTGGTCTATATTTAATTAACGTTAACGTTATTTAGTGGTGGGTACTAAAGATTCGGCCAAAGCCGAATTCCGGCCTTTAAATCAACCAAGTGTCGTGTATTTTACGGGTTACTTTAATAAATATTTTTTTAAAAAGTATACGTAAACTTAGTTAAACATCTCCGGATTTGGCATAAAAAAGCAAGCGACTCTTGCTTTATATATTGAAAGCTTTCTAGTTAAAATTTGCAGCAAATATCTTTAGCAACTAACTAACCTAGCAAAAAAAAAAAAAAAAAGAAGGAAAAGGACATATTTTATATTCTATTAACAGTAAGCCTGAAAGCCCCAAAGCTACAACTCAGATATGGAAATGGGGGTGAATGGAGTGAAAATGGGGCATTAAAAGCAATTGAAAATCTTCGTTAGCTACTTTTGGAAAAAGAGACTTCGATTTGGAACAACACCAATCAAAGTGTAGGGACCCGCTTACGGTCAACGGAGTTCGAGTAAGCTTCGTCGTAATACGAATATGTTACCCAACAGAAATCTTACGATCAAATTTTATTCGATTTTTCATCCCCATTCAGCTCTAAACTCCCCACTCCTAACAGCGAATCGATAATCAACAGCTGTCGAGTTTATTCGATGTAGATAGCCATAAATCAGTGCATGGAGGGGCACATATACAATCAGTGTTGAAGACCTTTACTTAAGTCGTACGAGACAGTTATGTTATGCAACAAATCCCAATTTTTATTCCCTACACCGCTTGCGATACAATTGCATATTAAATTTGTGTCGATGTGCGCAACACCAAGACGGTCTCAAGATAGATCCACCTCTTATTATAAAAGTCAATTCAGAATCACTTTTTGCGCCGTGCTAGTCTGTCCGTCTGTCTGTCTTTTCTTCTTGTATTCGGTCTGGAGATAGCAATTTGTGAGATATTTGAAAGAAATTGGGTACAATGACATGTTTCAAGCCAAGGATGAACGCAATTAGAAATAGTGCGGGTCAGACCACTTATTGTGCAAAGTCGTTATATCAATTGAACGAAGTGGTGTAGGATAGGTCGCGCCCCAGCACTGTGTTTTCACTTGTTTATAATTGACATTGAAGTGTGAATACAATTTATACATATGTGCATACATATTATTAGCTATATAAAATTATGGGAATTCCAACTTCGACAGCAAAAATAGAGGGATATATCCCTCCAGAGATTTTTATATATACACAGAGGCCAATGTTGAAAAATAAGTGCAACACCTCAATAACCAAACAGACATAAAAGAAAATTTCTTTGAGCGACAACTTAAGCCAGGTTCACTGGGTGGTTGGGATAGTATAAACATTGCTTTTAATACTTGTAACTTCATAACCTGCTTTAAAAAGACTTACAAAGAGGTAAGAAAAAAGTCTGCGTTAAAGCGTGCATTCTTGTTAACTATTTTTTTTTTTTAATTCTTGAGTTACGTTGACGAGTACTTTGCTCTATTGCTAGGGTATCGTAAAGATTGCTTTTGTCCAGTGCAGTCTTCATTTCTGGGCCTTGACAAAATTATGGATATGACTTATTTCTGCGGAGATAGTAGCTGCGCTAAAAGACTTCCTGCAACAGAGTTTGATCTTTTTAAAAATCAGAAATGATCGTAAGAAAACTTGAAATTTTCAATACATTTTTACTAATGAACAGCAAACTTCAACAAATATTAACTTTAGCACACCAGGTTACTTTCGTGCATTCGCATCTATTTTAGTTTTTGATTAAGCGGGAAGCCGAGGCAAACAATTTACTCGGTAAAGGCACTTAAGTCATTTAAGTGTACCCACTTTGGGAGATCATAATATTATTTTAAAATAACAAAGAGCTCACTATTGCCCCAAAACCAGAAAAAGGTGTCGAAGTTTTTATGATTGTTCTAATTATAACCGCATCCAAATAAAAGTATGAGTTTAGAGATTTTTAAAGTTCGTATACGTTGCGTTTTTTATCAAATTCCAATCCTACTGATTCCATTTCTTCTATGTGACTTCTACTACGTGCAGCTTCTTCGAATACAAAAGGGACGTAAAAGCTGTGAACATACAACCAGGTTATTTCTTTTCATGTAACTGTTATAGTAAGCTATTTAAACTCTCGGAACCAGCCGTAAGAAAGTAGAAAGGCTTAGTTCAATTTACTCCACTTTTTCGAGCTTTGCAATCGTAGCTGTTCACCTTCCCGTAAAAGTTATATGGTAGTGTCACCATTGTACGTATGTGAGAGAGCTTAAAAAAAATTTCTTTCTTATTTTTCATCTTCTTACTCTGGTCTTAATGCAATACAAAGCAGTTACTTGATGGTGTTAGCTAAAAAGGTGTCATTTGTACCTTACATGCATTTTCCGTCTTGCAAACAAATCGTTATGTTTTACATTGTGTGACAAAGCGAACATTTACAATTACATTCATGCTTGTGAAAGCGCTTACATACATGCATACGAGCGTACGCACATACAATTAAAGCTATGGCAGTGCTATTTTTCTAATGATGGTCTAACAAATACAGCAACAATGGTACGTGCAAGGCACTGCGAGCTCTTCTGGTAAGGTTCTGTACGTTTGTTGTACAAGTTTTTGCATCGACATGTGTCATGCAAATTAAACGCACATGTCACCGGACACTTTGTTTCTATCTTTTTTTTTTTTGCTTCATTTCTTATGTTTAAGCCACTATTTCCACTTCGGTTTATAAAAGTACCTCGGGTAAAGGCCTCTGGCCTTATGAAAAATGCATAAATGTATTAAGTACATAATGGTAAGTCTGTGTGCGTATCTAGCTATTTATGGTAACTTGCACACAGACACTCAAGCCATCTGTATTCAGTTAAGGTTGGGTTTCTGCGTACCATACGAGGCGGCCGGCAATTGCGCTGACAATTTTAACGTTTATTATGCTATGTAGTTAGGGTAAAGTTTTCGCTATACGCGTTTATTGGTGTGTTGTGTGTGTATGTGCGTATGTAGGAATTAAATCAGATTTTTTTTATATCGCAATTTTTTATAAACAAGCAAAGGCATATGCACATAGGTGAACATACGAACGTATTCATTCATTATTGTTATTATGATTTTATTTTCATACGTTTTTTTCCTATTTTCATACCAGGAAATGTTGTACCGTTTTGTTGAAAAGCTCGGCCACATTGTGCGTACTTTGACACATTTTAACAATTTATGAATTAATGTAGTGATACATATGTATATATATATGTATATATATAAATATATATATATATATATATATGTACAATTGCTTTACATGCTTGACAACTAAATTCAAAGCAATTCATGTGTCACACAATCATTAGACTGCGCTTACGAGCTGATATAGTGCAATACGCTCTGATATGCTAGAAAAATAGGTTTTTCTCAATAAGCCATACTTTTGGTTAATAATGTATAAAAAGCAAGCTGCATTGCATATTTGACAGTTGCAACATATGTCAAAGTGCGTGCTTAGCGACATTTTAATCAATGACAGGTGGTTTTCTATGTGCAAGTGTTCCTATCATTGTTTTAATAGAACAAGTGTTTGTACATGTAAATGCATGTGAATACGATTTTGACGCTATTAAATTAAAGCAACAAAAGTTTCTGTTATAGGGGAATTCAGCTAAAAGGAAAACGTAAAGGCTTGTTTAAGAATAAAATATTTTTTTAAAGACATCTTCGAGTCACATAATCAAGTCAAGCCTCAATTTTTACGGCAGGGAAACCCTCAGCTCGTTCCGCGGATGACACGCTACTTGAAACAGTTCCAATCGTCGGCCCCGATTATAAATTGCTCGATAATCGATCTGTTCAAGAGGGAAGCATTTTCCATTGAACGGAACAGTTTGTGGAAATTAAGATAATAGATACGTATTTATGAAACCCACGATTATCTAGATGTGACATCGCTTTGCTTAACGAGATCAAGAAATTATGTATTGCTTTACGAGCGAGTGTTGGCGTTTATAGTTGCAAATATTATTTAGTTTAGAGTTTAGCTAACGTATTTATTTTCAATATGTTTTTGCCAAACATATGAATCTAAACGTGGAAACTGAACATAGATGGCCTTAGTTGTCGAGGTAGTTACTGTCAATACATGTCATTGACATCAGTTTCACGTTGAGACCTGACAAAGGACTGGTTCACGGCATTAGAAGTTCCACAAAACTGGATAAGTGTCTAATAGCGGTGAACAAGTCGAGCTTTGTGCCAAAATTTGATATGCAGAAGGAAATCATTTTTTTACCGACCATTACTGGCGATAAAAAATGGATTATTTCAATAATCCCAAGGTCAAAACTTGATGGATCCAGGTCTAGCATCCAGATTTATCACAAGACTGAATCGCCAAGGAGACGCCTGTTGTTCGTTGATCGGATTAGAAACGCGTGGTCCGTTGAAGTCTGGGGAAATGGTTCATACTAATGCTGGTCGCAGTAACGGCAATGCTTAAATAATAAAGAAAACCACACAAGGATCCAGCTGCTTGCAATCCATCGGTCCATCCGTATATATTGTAAAAGAAGTCCACGACACGGTGGAA